TATATGCGGAAAGATCAAGGCCTTTCTAACCAGACGTGTTGCCAAACTGACCATACATCGAATGTTGTCAGGGCTGAAGGCAACATTTTGCCCTGGAGCAAGAGCTAGCAGCGTGAATTCAATGAGGGCTTTTGATAACGATATAGATGATTTGCTCAAGGAGGAGGGTGATGGAGACCACAATTGCAACGAAGTTTGTGTTAATCAGAGAATGAAAGACACATCCCTCGGCAAGAACCAGGTGTTCAAAATGCATCTCAAAGAACTCCTCTACAATCACACCACGAGAGAGATGACGATACCTGAGGTCACCCCAGGAGTTACGAAAATATAAGTTGCCCCACCCCCAGAGGCTGTGAACCTGAGATAACGAAGCAAGCGCGTCGCTTCTTAGGAGTGTTCGGGTGGTTTGTGAACAACGAGGCTGTCACACAAACTAAAAGGATGATATTGGCTTTCGAGGAGATTGAGGCGCGACCAACAATCACAGAAGAAGCCCCAGTGTCAGTGTCATTGAAAGCCAAAATGGAAGTCAAGGTTCTGGTTCAGAAACTGGTCACACGGCTTTTCAAAAACGCAAAGGTGAACCACAACGTTGGAAACTCAGTCGGCATCGTTGAGAGCTTGTTGGAGAAAGTGTGGACCAAATTCGAGGGGGAAAGCTTCACAATAACCCCGGACACATTTCAGACCCTCGACAAGGTGGTTTACAAGGACCTGATCAGGATCTGGGGCAGCGCAGAGTCCGTGCTCGTGATGTTCAACATGGAAGGATCGTCAGGTGAAAATTGCGTCGCTTCCATTTTCAAAGCTCGCCTAATGCGTAAACCAAAGAAGAGACGAGCCGTCTGCACATTTTTCCACTCGGTAGGCAAGGCCATCAGCAAGCCTTTCAGACGCAGCTCTGAGCCCGTGTGGGTTCTTTAAAGGGGGTTATTGAAATGTGGGGTCTTTAAAGGGGGTTATTGAAATGTGGGGTCTTTAAAGGGGGTTATTGAAATATAGGGTATTTAAAGGGGGTTATTGAAATGTGGGGTCTTTAAAGTGTGGGATTTTAAGTTAGGGTGGTAAATATGTGTGGGTGGGTTTATCATTTTGGGATTTACTCGGGGGTCGCTCCGGTGTTTTCCCAAAATATTTGTGTGGGCGGGTTTTATCATGTTGGGTTTTCTCTGGGTTCACTCCGGTTTTTCCCGCTTACCATGCAACGGATTGGACGATTAACATCTCCACCAAAAACTGCATGGTATCAACCTCTTATATTGTTATCAATAAATGTTGAAAAGCATTTTTACTGTTTCTCTGTCTTTAGTTTACGGTTGAATCTGTTAATATGTAACACATGCTGAAGGTCTGCTATTTTAAGTTTCACTAGAAGATCAAACTTTTGTGTTTTGTTGTGAGAAAAATACTCAGTTACAATCAAAACAAATGAATGTGTTATATGTTATTGTGTCATTTTACAAATATATAGTACATTGGGTAATTACATTGTCACAGCAGCAGTGTTGTCACGCATTACACATGAGAGAAACTATTTAAAAGAGAGTATAAGATACAACTATAATAAAACAAAGAATGTACATGAACAGCAAATACTGTACATACAACATTACAATAGAAAATACATCTAAATAATACATAATATAAAGAAAATACTGAATATGTTTAAATACTCTACAATATACAATTGCACTAGGCAACAGATAGAAATAGACAGAGTATTAAATAATTAAAATAAACAATACATGAGAAATCAAAAAATGGTGCTATTGTGGAGCACCTAATCACAATAATCTTTGAAATTCCGATTGTCTTTAAACGCACCATTTCACCTGTTTATTGTACCCGGGACAAAAATAACATTCAAAGTCTCATCAAGTATTTCGTCCTCATAACTGTGTTTTGTGAAGTAGGCATTAGATTAAAAATAAACAATTAAAATGTAGAAGTCTAGGTTATAACTTCAGGTACTCTTAAATAAAGTTGTAATGGGTTCCTCTGCTGGTCTCAGACTGTATATGAGTGATAATAACGGACCTTTAACCCTGGGGGTCTGGCGACTGAACTGGAGGCTCAGGGAATCAAATTACAGGTAAAATATAATTAATAATAACAACAATCTTTATCTGATTAACTACTTTTACTAAGGTTTATACTGTATCCGTCAGTTTGTCATTAAAATAATAATTTCTATAGTATTAAACTAACGTAAAGTAAAAGAGATGTCATAATTAAAACACATTTAAAGTAAGGTATTTTAACTTTTAATAATGATAGTATAGTATAATTATTATAATAATAATAAAAACTGTTATCATTATGATGTGTGTATTACATCAGTTGGTTTATATATGTCACATGTATATTACAGTCAAATGTTTGATAAAAGTCAGTTATAAGTTTGCACACGGCGCCATCTTGTGGCGGAAGACATTCATAACCTGCTTCCGCCACACCACTCACGCAACATCCGGTTGTGCAGCAGCCATTTTGTCTGTTCGGGCAGCAAGTCCACCCTGACGATCGAGAACTGCAGTTCCGTCTTAAAGAAAACAATGTGAAATTTAATCCCAGCGTTAATATTTCCATTTATCTACTATCTAAAAAATCAAATCACAATTTTACAAGCCGAGGTGGGCGGCAGAACCCCCGGATTTGAGTGTAAAAAACTAAAAAGCGCTGGTGTCTGGTTACGACATGTCGAGCGAAGAGAGCTACCGGGCCATCATCCGCTATCTGACCGATGAGAGGGAGCCCTACGCGGCAGGGACCCCTGGGAACACCAAGAGAAAGATCCGCAAAGCAGCGACATGCTACGTGGTCCGCAGCGGGACTTTGTTCTACCAGAGGCGGCTGAAGGGACAGAATGACTTCACGGAGCTGGAGGTGGTGCTGCAGGACGATCGGAGGAGGGAGCTCATCACCGCGGAGCATGTTGCTTCTGAGGGCGGCGAACACCTGAACCAGCAGCTCACCTGGGACTTCATCTCACAGAAGTACTGGTGGAGAGGTGAGAAAGAAATAGCCACTTAAATGCGGTTAAATCTGCTTTGAAAACTGGTGTTAACATGAGGTTTTATTAATGTAAATATACGCCACACGACACAGTCACATAGTTACTCGCTGTCTCCATCTAGCGGATAATTTTTTTAAACTTGAACTTTTTTAAATGTGTTTATTAACAAAGTAGTTTGATTGGCATTATATTAAAATCCACAATAACTTGCACTGAATATTAATATTTGCACTGTATGCACATACACATTTCACTGGCACTGGTACCTGCACTTTTACATAACCTTATATCATATGTGTACATTCACCTGACCTGATGCATTTTTTTTATTATTTCTATTCATACGATTACTACATGTTTATTCTTATTTTTGTATATGTGTATTCTTATTATCCCTGTAGTTCTCTCTTCAGTTGCTGCTATAACACCTGCATTTCCCTATGGGGATCAATACAGGTCTACCTTATCTCATCTTGTCTTACAATAAAAGGCTCATGCAATTATATTTATTATAGTTTTTATACTTAAATAAGAATATAATTGTTCTGAGCTGCTCAAGTAATCTGCGGAGTGTGTTTGTTAAAATGAAAATCTTAAAATAAAGTATTTTTGGTGTTTCTTTAGGAATAAAATGTATTGGAAACTATTTAATCATCCAAAATCATTGCATGAAGGAAAAGAGATAAGCACTTAAAAGAAAAATATATGTTAATAAGTATTGTTGAGACTATTTTGTGCTACTGGTGGAGAGGTGAAGAACACAATAAGTGTAAATATTCAATATACGGTTGTCACGTTGCCAGATAATAATGGAACTTACACAAATAAATAGGAATGGGTATTATTTATTAACATGTTTAAACAAAACTAGCCGCAGTGCCTCACATGTAAATACATCCCGGGTTTGTTTGGCTGTGAATGACCCCTCCTGTATCTCTGTTCTCTCAGGTATCCTGAAGCAGGTGAAGGACGTCATCAGAGAGTGTCCCGAGTGTCTCTACAGACGCAGCTCGGATGACGGCGCTGGAAATCGACTTTTCGCCCGACCGGCGCGACGCAAAACGACCGCCAACGCTAACGATGAAGAGGAAGAGGATGAAGAAGAGGGAGATAGCTTAGTCTTCGCTGACTCGTCTAGTCAACTGAGACACAAAGCGACGGCCAAACACGAACTCGTCTTTGTAAGTTTCACCTATTTACCTTTTTGTTTAAGTCCAGATAATAACAAAGAGGGGATCTTGTTAAATAATAAAAATGGAAGCTAAATAAAAGTAGCCTTTTTTCAAATTGAACTTGGTTTAGAAGCAACCTGAGCTAACTGTGTCAAATGGTATGACAATGTGATTAAAATAATATTAGTTTTCTTTATAAATCGACTAATGGAGCCGTAAAAACCAACATAATAACTAAGGCATGTCAGTCAAATATTCAAGGTCTTATTTTCATATGCACATCAGGCTTCTCTCACACTGCAACACATTATACTCAACATAACAAGAAAAATACTTAAAATAGTGCATTAGACATATATGGTACAAGTACGTTACAGGAGAAAGAAAATAAATACATATAAATCTGAAATAAGGGGGAAAAGAGTTTGAATTAGAATAAAATACTATAGTTTAGACCCTCCAGAAAAACGCGACTCTGCGATCGCAGAATTTACCGCATAATCAGCAAAATGGCGCAGATTTTCAAAAGGCCGCATAATCCCCGCATTTTTCCACACAAAGTTGAGGAGAAAAAAAGTTAAATCGTCTTGACCTGACGTCATCAGCTCGCGCATCACAGAATGTAAACAACACTGTATAGAGTGAACGTGTGGAGCTCACACGATAGAGAAAACACCAAGATGAAAAAATCTAATCCATTTACCGACAAACATTTCTACTAAAGACCGGGCAAAAAGTGGGGGGAAACTATTCTGCACCCCGTGCAACTGTGTGTTGGAGCATAAGAGAAAATCGACGGTGAGCATCAACCTCCAAAACTCTTTCGAGGGCTACAAGAAACGAAGTGAGTAGCCTACAAGATTGAAGCTGGTCAGATAACGAACGAGTAAATGAAAACAGAATGAGGCGGAAAAGTGTGTGTGTGTGTGTGTGTGAGTGTGTGTGTGAGAGAGAGAGTGATTAAAATAGCCCAATTGCTTTTACAATAAATAAACATTGAATGTGTTTAATTGAATAGTAAAGGGGTTTAACGTTAGTGGCAGGTTGTGTGTGAGAGAGAATAAATAAGACAGCCCAATATTTGAAAAAATTATTATTCTTTCCCCCCGCATATTTTGCATATTTCGCAACTTTCCGCATATTTCGCAACTTCCCGCAATTTCACCGCATAAAATCACATAAAAACCCAGCATGTTTAATCGCATAATCAAGGATTTTAGCCCGCATAATCAAGGAATTTAGCCCGCATAATAAAGGATTTTTGCCCGCGTTTTCTGG